TGGCATAAAACTGGATTTTCTTTTTCCCCAACACCTTAGTTACCATGCAGAAATTATTTTTCATAACAAGAATTACTTCAAGCTTTAAATAGGCGAAAGCGAAAAAACCATTTCTACTTAGTAGTCAATAAGTGTGAAGTGTGAGTCAGTGGTTCAGGGACAGAATGCTAGCCAGCCAAGAAGCATATGATCCAGTTTCCCTTCCCAGAAGACTCACTCCTAAGCCTCGACTAGTCGGTAAGAAGCTTGGAAGAAAGAGGGTAGTTGAACGTGGGGCTAGCAACTTCACCGCATAAAAAATTCTATACCAAAACTCCATAGCTTAAAGCGAAGGAATGGGGAAAACGTTAATGCTTAGAGAGAAATTAAATTTGCCTGATCTCTATTCGTTATTGGAAAATTTGGTTTAATTTTATTTTTCTACCCAGAAATGTTGTTATACCAATTGCCCCAATTTCTTCAGTTGCCATATCCATTCATTCGTCGAACTTAATTAACTGCTTCACATCTACAGCTTCAAAAGGTATTTATTATAGGATTGAATAGGAAATGGCATTAAAATGTGTCGAAAACACACTGATTGAAAGTGTTTATAAAAAGGGATAGTGTCGATGAAATATAAGGGAGAAAACAGAAACCGTAATTACAGCGGGAAAACCTTTGAAATAAAAGAGTGAAAGAAAGGTAGCAATTAACCAGCCTTCCTAGTTAATGTTATTTATTGGGATAAAAATAAACCTGCAGTTTACGGGAAGTCTATAGGAAGAAAACAAAGAAAGAATAATTTAAGAATAATAATGATTTGATGGGTTTAGAAGTGAATACATCTCCATTATTCAGAATGATTTTGACCCATCTCAGCAATAGCGTGTACACAGTGACTAGTGGCGTCTTGAGGATTCCAGTCAACACTGTTTGGTTAGTAAGGTGATGCACTAGAATAGGTCGCACTTATCCAAGTCGCCTCAGCCTACACAAGTTTACAATACCATTGACTGAATTTTCCTCTTCACATAATTGTATCCTCTCAACCCCAATATTACCGACCACATTACATCATCTAACACACACACACACACATCTAACACACAGTTTCTTCATATCTCAGCCTCATAATGGGAAATATCTCGCAGCTACAAGGAAGGACAAAGATAACTGCTGTATTACTAACTATCAAACAACTTACGAGAAGGTTAATGTGAAAACATTTTTTGGAAGGGCGGAAATCAGACACCATAGTACAGTCAATTTTAAGAAATCAGATGTGGACCAGCAAGTCGAGTTATTTTGAAACAGAGAATAACTAAAATACATTATCAAAGATGCCTTTCAAGAAGCTGAAGAAAAAAACAATTTAACAGTTAACAAGAGTGAAGCACTTCTTCACTGTTAAAATATTTCAAAATTAAAGGCCAAACTTTTGATGCAGCTTTTAAAAATCAGCAAAACAGTTGGAAAACTCGGTGTGTAAGCCTCTACCCTAAGATAAAATAATATCAGTTATCAGATGTCACATCTGGAACAACTGTGAACATGAATAAATTCAGGACACCCTGAATATTAATTACCATTCCGACCTTATATGTACATAATTGTATCCACGAATCCGATCGATTAGACTGCATACTACATGATGTAAGAAGTTAAGTACGCTTGATCTTGACTTGAATCAGCAAGACTTATATGTTCAATCGCCGATACGATTCATAGACACAACATGTACCAATAAACTTTTAAAGTAAGAATATCCGAAGAGATTTAAGAAAATTAGTACAAATGAAACCATTTTGTCACTTTTAAAAATTCAAACTGAAGAGTTAACCGAAATGACAAAATCAGTAGACTTCAGGGAAATAAGTCCTCATGCGATGACAGCTACTACCTCACCTTCCAGATGATGATCACGTCATTATGGGAAGCTCAGCTAAAACTAAGTCAAACACTGCTTAAAATGAAGGAGTACAAACTTTCACGAAGTTTTTACTGTGGGAATATAGTTTGTAATATTCGATATAATAAATACACATTATCATGCCCCATAATCCACCTTCATTTATCATTTTCTGGTCAACTGATTATCACTGAAAAAAACAAAAATCTCCTAACTATACCAGTTTAATATGCACCTACAAATCTGTCTGCTTCTACTACGATGAAATTTGTATGAATTGAATTAATCCACTATTAATCAGTACAGATGATTCAATGAGAAACCCAAATTAGCTTAAACTAATGTTCATATATCCTACTTAACTGGGCGGTGTTCAACTTTAGACACTGTTATGACTAAACTGGACTGACCCATCGCTAATTTGTTATAACTCAACTGGACTGAAATGAATAAATCAGTTCACTGCTTTGTGATGTCTGCGCTTGTAAATTACTATAACGGTAATGAACTTGACTGGTACGCTAATACGTTGCACCTTCCGATTCACTGAGCCGCGCAAATCTCAAAAGACAAAGGCTGGCCTATGATTGTAAGATAGTGTATTATATACGTCTATTAGGAGACAAAACATCATATTTATATATTTAATTTATCACAATAAAGTTGGCTCACAACCGTGAGAATGAACTCTTCTTATTGTCTGGATATGGCTATTCTCATTGGTTGGTGATCCGACAAAGTTCAAGATGAGACTAAAGACGATGAATTGATCACATGCTAAATCACAATATGTGTGGCAAATGATACACCCACACAGTAACTCCATGACTAGGTAAATCATACTGTTCGTGAGAAAGGATGGTATGCTATTTTATTCTGGGTCCTATCATACACCCAAAAGGCGTTAACACCTCAGTGACCTTCGTATCTCCCCCTTATTAGGCTGAATTAATCCTAGTCTTTCCCCTACCCGATGGAATACTAACGTGATATAGTGTTTATTACCCTTACACTTCATTCAACACTTTATCATGAATCAAGTGTTCTTTCACTATCTTGCTCTGACTGAACGCTCTTAGGTCTTTGGTGCGTTCAAGTTTGTTGTGTGTCTAGAGTTTGGCTTCATCCTTAAGTGAATATATATATATATATATATCACTGGATAACTCTTTGCCACTCCTAACGATGGGTGCAGGCCTCCAGTCTCAGCGGGAACAGCACCACACACTAGACATGCAGCTACATCCAGATGACGAGTCCCAGGTAGGAAACAATGCACATCCAGGATTCCACTGTTTATTTTCTCAAGCAGCCTTGTGTTTTTTTATATAAAATCTACATAATGTAAATACAGGTCGGTGAAACGAAAGGCTCTATGTTTGCTTTCTGTACTTGTTCACAGACTTCCCAAGATGGCCATTCTACAGATGTAGCAGTCAATATTTTTTTATTATTATCTATCTTCTCAGCTGTGCCTATTCACTGAGTCTGATTAAACGAAAATTTGACCAAAGGTTAACAATATCTCACTAGTCACTTATGTAATTGAGCCACCTGTGTGTGTGCGTGTGTGTGTACAAATCTGCATAATTGTTAAATTTAACCTCCATTGTTATTTCTTTATGTGACTGTCTGTTCAGAAAGAGTGGCATCATTACCTACTTATTCTTCTATTTTCACCCTATTTACTTGTGAATATCTGATTATTTGGTTTACATTTCTAGTGGCTTATTATAAATTTTGTACAAATTTACCTGACAAATGGATATGTGATCAGATTATTCAAAACACACTACATGAATACATCTTGTAATCTAACTAAGAATTCGTCTACTAATAATGCTCTTCAATTTACTACATGGAATGATTCATTCAGTCATATTTTTCTTCAACATCATTTGAGGTAGTTCAGTGTAGAGATTTCTATCGTACCATAAAGAAAATAAACGTAGTTTTTCATTGTTCATATATACTTGGTGGCTAGTAGTGAAGTCTGGATATGCATACTTCCTCCTGTCTGACACTTGTCAGCTGGATGTACTTGCATCTTCAGTTAGTGGTACTGCGCCCACGGGGACTCGAACCTAGTACCAACTGTTTCGGATGTTTTCTAAAAATAAAAATAATCAAAGGAATAAATGGATTTTTGACAATATTTCAAAGATATCTGACAAATAAGTATTCCAGTAATTTTAAATATTGTCCATAGTATATTCAGAAATAGCATTTTTAGGCGAACAACTGTTATCAGTAACGTCTTCTTCTTCTGGCTCTACAGTTCAAAATCCATAAATTATAGAATACGATAAGCAGCAAAATGCAAATCTTAAAATTCTGTATCAGAAACTATTTCGGGGTAAAAGTATAAGATGGTTGGTTGTGATTGTCTGTTGAATGCATATGAAACCAACAGTCATTAAGATGAAATGTGAACAATTAATGGTGTGACATGCTAATGTATAGATAATCAATAAAATATAAGTTTAAGGGAGTAAGTTTTATACAGTAGTGTGACGGGAAATAAGAATACCATAGAAATATAAACAAATGAATGACAAGCCGAATCTAAGTTCGAGTTTATTTAAAATATTTCATTAAGTTATAGATTCATTTAATTTGAAGTTCATAATACCTAATAGAAACAAAAGTACGTTGAGGATATTATTGTCATTAATTGAGAATAACAATGCCTTCAGGAAATAATGACCAAAAGTAACTTTACTATCATACTAAAGCACGTGCTTGCGCAAACATTAAACATTTATCAGAAAAATAATATCATGTTAAGCATAGTTGTGTATTTCTTTTTGCATAAAAGATGACTTTAATGCACACCGCTTCGTTTCTTCTCTACATGTTTATGAAGCAGTATTTCAATCATTCGATCAGTAGTTCATTCATTTCTTCTTTCCTACACTTCTGCTTTTCTTCTGTTTAGGTTTTTTTGTTAAATGCTGCCTGTCTAGCTTTTTCCCTACCTATTGCAGGTAGCTAGTTAATAGTTAGATCAATAACTTCTCAGAACAAACCAATAATCATACTGTCCCAAGGTCACTGACTCAAAAATCAGCAATGCCACGATTGAATTTAAGTCCAATCCAAATCAAGTTGCTTCAAATATGAGTTTATGTGTATGCGATCAGAAGGTATTAAGTAGTGTAATATAGTGTTCACAAACAACATTTATTATTACTATTAATAATAATATGACTATCTCATAAAGCATAGATTCTCAATTTATTTAAAGTAATGGGAGTTATTCCAAGAGGTTTAAGCAATTTCTGCTGATTATCACCAATAAATTATGATGAGGTGAAACTTTGCATATCAACATGTCATTCTCTGAGTACAGTAGGAGTGAAAGAACAGCCATCATTTTATTTATCAAAACAATATGAATTTAAAGTCGTTATGAATGCTTCAATTAAACGTGAACGTATAAAACCTTCATCATCTTCACTACGTACTACAGCTAGTAGTAATTATAACTTTGCTACACGTCTAAAAAATCGTGTATGTTCAAATTCTTGCTTAAAAATAGTTTATTTATCCTGTGCTACATTAATATCTGCCAGTTTCATCATCGAATGTATTCTACTTCATTTAATTATTGTGCCATATTTATCTGAATCAATATTTGAAGAGGGTATGTGTCAGTATAGTGCTTCACGTCGGGAAGAGTCTAGTAAACGCTGTGAAAACAAGTGTTCTAAAGAACGTTCCACTTTTCCATGTCTTCAAATAATAGTTAAATTCACACCGATTCGTACAGTCCCTTATCAAGTATTGAAACAAAAGACTAACAATAACATCAATAAAAATAAGGAATTAATGAAACAGTATATGGAACATGAGAATTACGAAAAGTCATTAACACCTATGCTGAGTAATACTGCATCAGATTTATCCAATTTCACTAAATATTATGATTCAACAGAGTCTCGTATGGTTTATTTATATGATTATTTTAGTACATTTGCTGCTCATAAAACTAGTCAAGTAAGTTTCACCATGATATAGATATATACATATATATTCGAATGGCTGAACTGTCTTGATAACTTATCTTTCTTCTAGATACTTTTCCTATAGTGAACACTTTTTTGGATAAGCTAGACCTGGTATAAATTAGGAACATGATGATTGAGATTTAAAACAAAGAAACTGTGACAGATCATTGCATAACTACGGCGCGAAAGTGCATCAGTTCAAGTAACTACAAACAGCTGTAAATGTACACGTGAAAGAAATTAACAGAAGTAGGATAATTCCAAAATGGACAAGAATGAATATGATAGGAGAAAAAGAATACTTTAGATTTTCTCAAATGATAACCTGACTTGTTTCAGTTTGACTACAACTGGGATGTTTTGCAACCTAAACATGCTTAAGTCAACATTGGTCCGAGAAAGTCAGATACCGGGCATTTCCTATCAACTGTGTTTGATATTTTTAGTGAACTCTACTCAAAACATCAACCCAACAGTATATATCTAAACCATGTGTTACTGAGTCTTTTTTATTTGAATACGTCTCAGAAATTGTGAAAAGACACATGTTTCTTTTTAAAAAGCCTGTCCCTTCGAAATTCTTCTCAGCTTTAACTAGTGTGTCAAACAGTTTGTAAAGTACAATGGAAAATTTCTATGGAGTAAACTTATCCGTTGATGGATAATAGTATACAATTTACAGAATATAGTAAAATCCTCCCATTTCATTCACATATTGGTCACAACCTAGTTTGTTACAAAGCATCTAACTGACTCGCTCTGATGTGTTGTGTTCGAATTGTAGCTTATGAAATTTTCTGCATTACAGTTACCGAATAAATTGTATTATTGACTTGTAATTGATGCATATTGCTAGCATTACTGGATATTATTGGTCCATTTGTGGCGTGTTGAGCAGTTGCTCCAACCTCACTGACAGTTAGTTTTACAGCTGTTCTGTGTTCACAAGAATCACTTTTACAGTAACAGTAAACAGTTTCCTTTATGCATTTTTTCCTAAATTACGTAGATTATGTTTGATATATGACTTCAAAACACTCTTTCATAATAATTTTGAAAAATAAAAACTCCCCAGTTACACACTGCCAAGAAGTTTCACTTCGAAGACCGAATTCCAAGTTTTCTTTACTAACAGTAATCAAACATAAGATGTATCAGTGAGCTAAAGAAAGTAAACTTCTCGAAGGCATTCTAATCGGAGACATTTAATTATGCAACAAGAGACACAATCATTGACATATCATTTATTTATGCCATAAAACATACTAACCGTCTTAGACCATGATAAGTTGTCAACTGAAATGTGGCGATAAGCCACAAAGTTGTTGGCTTTTAGTATAAGTCATACCAGTAGCCGTAGGTCAGAATTCCGAGCATCTTCGCTAACTTTATCTAAACTATTACACTCTTCAAATATATGTCAATTGTGACGTCGTCTTATTCTCATTCCCTTCTTTATTGTGCATTTTTCAGAAGCGTAGTCATCTGGATGGATTCACTTTAACAATGATTTAACACTAGGTTACTTCTACTTCAGAAATAAATGATTAGACGGTGATGACTTACTAAAATGTACTTTATTCAGAAATGTAAAATTCTGTCTTGATTGGAATACTTCAATATGAAACTGTAGTCACATTAATCATGCGTCACGAATCGTATGTTTTATTGATAATATTAGTCTCAGTCTCATATAAATAATGAAATGACTGTAAATGTTTTGAAATCTTTAATTCCTGTGAAAAGCACATGAACTTTACTTTTCTCACATTATAATCTGAGAATTTTCAGTTCAACTGTATGTCATATTACATTCGTTATTTTATTACTGGTTTTAGTGTAGGTAAAACATTCAAATGAACTCAAATTAATACCATGTGTCAGTGAGTAATGTATGTTTTCTTTATAATGTTTTATAAACAACATAAAAAAATCATTTTAATTTTTTCAAATCTGAGAACACTGTTTAAACAAATAGTTTGACAACGAAATCCTCAGATTTAAAAGTATCATTACATTACAGATTGAAATACTGTGATTTAAAACTAGACATTAGGATAAGACAGTATACAGGAGGGCATACCTAATATTTTATTAGAGCCTCTATTAATGCGTATTCAATTACTCAAAGATGTCAATATGTATACTTTCAAATCATTGCAGTTAGTCATAAGAATCAAGAGAAAGGTGTTGTCTTTCTACATTCATAACATATTTTAACTCACAAATGCACTAATACCCTCTGTCATTCACTTATAAATCTTTTTTAACTGATCTTTTACCAAAAAGACTACATTTGTTGTCTAAAAGAATAGTTCTAGTACTTCCCATAATTATGTGTACCCTCTTATCACTCGTGGTTATCTCTTCAAAGAAATTTTTATTTGGTGGCTCCAAACACCTCATTAGATGAATAAAAAAAGATGTAACAGCAGAAGGCAAGACACGGAAGCCAAGGTATGTATTCAAGTGATCAAACCGCTATTTATATCTATACAGTTTATGCACTTTAACCCATCATTGAGCATGTCGTTTTGACGTGCACTAAACGACATGAAATAGAATGTTGAAACGCATATGTAGCAGTCTGTTGCTGATGCACTATTGAACTGTGGGAATAGTATTCAGACGTTAACACCAGCATATACAATAATTCTTACTGTGAGAATAAAATTCCGTTGGAACCCACTGTCTGTATCACACCACCACAAAGATACACTAATTATCATCACTGTTGTTTTAGTGATTATATTGTTTCCAGTGTTAGTGTAGAGGTGCAAATTATCCTGGATGATTTAATTAGGTTATATTTACCTTCCTAATACTTATGTCTTCAAATCTCACTAAGTACTTTTTCTACAAAGACCAATACAAATTGACACAAGAATCAGAAAGCTTCTGGAAACAGCAGACCAGGTCACCAAAACAGACAGTTATATCATTCATTCACAGTCCAAAAAAACTCACTAAGTATTGGAGTAGGCAATGAATATATTTTCTAGAAAGACAAAGAAAGCTTCGACATTAAATTACACAACTCAGAGAAGAAAAGCTCACCGAAGAAATCCATTTAGGCTGAAATCTTGTCCAGTATTTGAAAATACCACTAGTTTTAAAGTCATATATTACATAGGGGCAGAATCAACTTACCTCATAACATATTGAGTAAAGTTGATTTATATCAGTGTGCCATCTCTCCTGCCTGAATAGGGTCAGTCTCTAGTGAGCATCAGATTAATTTTCAAGTGTTGGTTTTTGTAGGAATTTTGTTTGATAGGTTGGAGGATTACATCATGAGCTGACATCGGTTAGAGAACCCCTGGAAAACCTGGAAGTACTGGATAGCCGTTTCGTCGTAGTTTGGGACTCCTCATCAGTACACACCCATCGGGGTTTTAACCCAGGACCTTCTGGTTAGAAGGCAAGCTAGCTCGTAGACCATTAAGCCACTGCGAGCCGATCCAACGGCTATCCAGTGCATGAATTCTATCTTCTGCCAATTCATGACATAGGGTGACCACTTCCCAATGTCTCCTTCGATGAGTTATTGCCTCACCTTCAACCTGATGTACCTCACCGTCCAACCAATCAAACAAAATGCCCACAAAACCAATACTTGAAAACTTACTAATGAGCTTCAGACTGAAGACTTCTCAACCAGCAGGGAACAGACGTTAGATGGTTCTGTATGTGATGTCACTTAATGATGAAATGTATCTTGAAATCAATCACACCAGTAAACACCAACACTTGAAAGCTTGAAATGAATTCTGTTAGGCGTCCTGACAATCTAATAATATAAATTCAAACCATAAGGTCACCAATGTTTATTTCTAATTTATTTTTTAAAAGCCTACACCAGCCGTAACATAAAGGATACATTAATTTAGCTAGTTAAAACCCATGCATTCATCTGTTTGTTAGTGAGACTGTCCGAAATACATTCGTAAATTGACAGAGACTGATATTCAGATAATCATGATTTAAAACTTATCCTTAATTCCATTACATATACTGAAGACTGTTCTGCGTTAATCCATTAGCGTTATTCTTTTGTTAAATTATATTTGGATTTAGCTGACCATTTATATATATTAAAATATTTCATTCGCACAATTTGTCGATTAGTTACTTGCATATAATACTGATTATTAATCAGTAGTTAGATCCATTCACACTAATAATCTAAACATCAAGCTGATATTTCACGCACTTCCTACTTTGCTTCCTTTCTTAATAGCACTTATTGGGTGTCAATAAAGTCACATACATTGATCTTAATACTTTCAGTTTTTAAAGGAAATTTGAGTCAAATCTTCAAATAATAAAGTGTGTTGTTACATTTCGTGAAATACTGAGATGTTTTGAAATAAGTATGATACATAATGGTAATCCCTGTAGAATGCAGAAAAAGATCACACAAGGCTTTGCATTAGTAAGTACATCGGATTTTCTATCAATTAACTCATTGAAAACACTTATGATCTAGTAAATTCTAGATATGCATACACGTGTATTGACGTATGTGATGAACGTGAATTCATACAAACATACTACTACTACTACTGTAGCAGAAGAAGATAAGAGATTTGGTATAGGACTTTCCTTAAGGGAAAAGACATCATATTTATACACTGTTAGTCAAAGTTTGGCTAGGTCAGCGGGCAAAGGATTGTGGTGATTGGTTGGCAATTGGCCCAAGGTTAAACAAGTTGTCCAATGAGGTTATTTCATGACCACTATATAAACTAAATCCAGATTTGAGGAATAAGCATTTCTACATCTGCAGCCAGTTACTCAAAGTGTTGATTACAGTTTTGGCCACTTCCTATCAATGTGCATCATACTACACTACAACTCCTAAACATTTGATTTTAGACAAGGAAAGGCGATGATATAACTTTAAATAAACTTAAGACATACATATATACACATGGTTCGTTAAAATAAACCAATCAACTTAAAGTGTGTCTTACCATATTACTGAAT